TCTACGACATTGTATCCGTTTTCCTTTAGGAACTGTATTTTCTCCAAGGTTCGCTGCCTAAGATCTTGCATTGTCATATGGGTCACGGGATTCAAGGTGTCTGGTATAACACCTTTCGCATCCATGCCACAGACATCCTTGGATCTCCCAAACAGTGTTCGTCTCAACGTTGAATCCATCGACGAGGTACTTACCAATCCGCTGTTCTCCGTTGTTTCGGGCGTGGCGAATTAAGACGTTATCGCGTTCAGCAATCCAGGTTAGCATCTTTAAGGCGATTACTGATTGCTTCTGCTCGGGCTTGTACCCACAAGGCGGAATGATGGCGATAGTGTTCTCTTGCAAGAACATCTTCCGGAAAACCAGGTTACAGGCTGAAGCGATCGTCAGACAGGAGGCGAAGGGATCAACGTCTGTGACTTGGCGGAAGAGTTGCGAAACTCAAGACAACAACGACGTAAGATGTCCACATCCGACCGACAGTAGCGAAGGATTTCGGCTTGAAAGTCGAACTCGTATTGACGCTCGACTTGATCGTTGTACCAGGTAAAGAACTTCTCGCGATCATTAGATGACATGCCATCAGGATCATAGAACTTTGCCTTGGCAACGGTCCAACATAGTCCTGGTTTTCAGCACGGTTAAACAAATGAGGGAAGTATCCTTTCTGCAGCTCTGTCAGTCCAAACGTTTTCGAAAATCAGCGAGTCTCATAGGAATGAAGCAGAGAGAGTCTATAAACTTTATGTTCATTTCAGGAACAAGCAACGAAAGGATTTTTGCGCCACGTGTAATGTTCTCGGGTGATGGCATTCGTGTAGAGGTGTTGGAGAATGAAATATCCGTCATAAGCCTGGAAATTATGTGCGATAAACGTAGTGTTAGTATTTTGGTGTTGAAAAATCCACTCGCAGAACTCTTTCTTCGTATCAGGACCAGAAAACACGACTTCGTCACCGCTTTCGTTCTGGACCACGCAAAGATTTGGGATGTGTTCGCCGTCATCCTGAGTACATTCAAAGTCGAAGAACATCAAGTTTGGGTCCCTTCAACGTCGTTTTCCACAGCTACGTCATTGTCCAGCAGCTCATTCCGTTGATTTTCCTCGGCTGTTCGTTTTTTCTTCTTCTCCTTCACAGGTTGAAGATAACATTTGTGGTTCTCTGGTTTGACGTACTTCATACAAGTGGAGATCGAACTAAACCACAATGATGATCACGAAGACTGGCACGAGTAACCACGCGTTGACATTCTTTGCATTCAATCAAAGCATGGCACAGGGATTTGACAGGACCTGTGTCATCTTTATGGCGGTTGAAGCACGCTTCGCTCTTAAAGAACCTGTTGCAGTCTTTGCAAAATTTCCACTCGACGACGGAACAATTCTGCGTGTGACACAATTTGCACAGATTGCCACACGGATGATCTGTGACTTTATCGTAGCCTTTCTTGCATTTATGGCAATACTGTTTACGAGCGAGGAAGGCAGGCATACTGGTGATCACGTCGTAATGGTCGTCATGATGGTACAAGTATAGGTGCTTTTCAGCTTCAGGGCCAGAATAGACGAGGGCATTTAAATGTTCCTTGGATATCACGTTGATTTGATAACCAGTGAGAGCGGCTTGGAACTTCTTGATTTCCGCGATACCACAGGATCCCAGAGGAACACCGGCAGACTCGTGAAGTTCGCGGGCAATGCGGGATTGCATGGGTCGGTTTGGTTTCGGATAGCCTCATATGCGGGTCTTTGTCGAGTTTTGCCTTGGCTACCACAATCGCGCGCGCACAACAGAGTTCATCTTTGTTCCTAATTTGAATGATGCATTCCTTTTTTCTTAGGAAACTTTCAAGATTACAACATCACGTCGTTTTCTACCTCTACCGTTGGGCATTTCCACATGGACCAAGTTAACGTTGACAGAGTCATCCAAGGTAAATTGGTCATTGGATTGCACGACGCGTTCGACTGCAGCTAGGAAACGTTCTGGGGTCAGACGATCCTGTTGTATAAATGGTAGGAAATGGGTCGATCCAACTGGTGCGAATTTAGAATCAAGCGAACCTGGTCGTGGGGTGCCATATCAGTCGTGAGTCGATCAAATAACTGTCGAAATGCACGGTTCAACGTCGACATGACATTTGATATCCCGTGAACGTTCAAGGGATTAAATTTTACGGTATAGTCCATACCTAAAAGCGTGATACATGTCATACATACTACAAAGAAATAAGTACCTAAAAGCACTGTTTAAAAATAATTAAATACACTTCATGCAAGCATTAATTAAATTGAACGAATGACTTCAAAATAGATACTCTTTAAAGAATTTAGTCAGTACCTCTCGTATTGAACTTGCGCACGTTGACTTGTTTCACTGATTTGATAGTGAAATACTCCTCTGATCTTTGCCGTTTCGAGGGTACTTCATCGCTGACTTGCTTTCGTTTGCTGCCTTCACCCACTTGGTTATTGGCTTCTTCGCCTACTTCATGGTCAGAAATATCGACTCGTTCGAGTTCCTCGTACAGTCCCTCGTCATTGACCCAGTCTTCGTTAAACAGACGACGTTGTTCGTCAGTCCAGTTTGCCAACATATCGGGGTCAACTCCATCTGGCGCCTCGGTCATCTCGCGGTGAGTATCTTCGGCCATGGCGTTCCTCCAAGAAACTATTCTTTGTTGAATATCGTCGACCCAATCGCTTGCAAAACGTAGTCGCTGAGAATCGGACCAGTTGTCGATCAGACTAAGTTCAATAGCCCCACTATGTGTCCAAATAGATATACGCTGTTGCAAAACGGCTTCTTTTTCCTTGTCAGTGAGATCGAACGCTTCTTGAAATATACCAAGAGCAGCTTCGGTCTCGCACTCACGAATCATGTCAAGGATCTACAATTTTTAAAAAAAAAAAAAGAATGAATAAATAATAAAAAATGATAAAAAAAAACACAAACAAAAACGAAAGAAAACATTTTTACTTACAGATTGAGACATCTTTCAAATGTTTCACTAAATTTGTCAAAGAAAATCGCACAACGACTGCAATATTTGCCAACAGAAGATAAATGCTATTGCTCGCACTGAAAACAGTTAAGGAATAAAGAGACACCAGGCTAAATTTCCCATGCTTGCAATGCGATCGTCTGCCTGAACTTTCCCGCCAAAATGTACCGCCAGAACTTGTCCGCTTTAATGACCTTTCAAAATGTACCGCCAGAACTTGTCCGCTTTAATGACCTTTCTCATTACCCTGCCGACAAATGCCGCTGGAATTAACTTGCCGGCCTTAATGACCTTTGCCATTGTCCTATACCATGTGCGATATGAAATTCCCGTCTAAAACCTTGTCGCTTTGAGAAAATCGGTCGAAAGGGATAATAAAATTTCACAAAGTAAAACTGGCAACTTGGATGGCAACCGCGATTGTATTGCGTCAGAAGCTGACCAAGTGAATTCGTCTTAAACAAGGTACAGTTATTGTAATGATATCGCTTGCTTAAAAATTAATATCGATTAAACTATAATTCTACCAAAATTTAATGACTGCAAACATACAAAAAAGCATAGTGCTAGGAGTAGGAATCGAACCCACGAAGTGCAACGCACATTAGATCTTAAGTCTAACGCCTTTACCAACTCGGCCATCCTAGCATTTTGTATTTAAAAGTGATAAATATCTACAAAACTCTAGTTGTTTGCGACTGGAATAAATTAACTCCAAGTTGTTATGAATACATAATCAGTGACATAATCTTCGGGTGATTGTCGGATGCGAATCGGGTTGAATAATTAATTAGGGTTAAGGTCTTAAAGGAGCAAGGCACGTCATGAATACATAATGATGCACCAGGCCTTTGCATACTAATTACTTTCAACATGCCTTTGCATACTAATTACTTCCGTCCCTGAAGTGGGGGGTATCACTACTTACACCACTGGATTTAGAAACAGTTCTGAATGATTTTTATAAACTGATTAGTAGCACTAAAAAGCGGTCAAAATAGTTTAAATAGTTTGGGAAAGTATTTCAGACCTCATTTTCAACATGTATTCTATACAGTTAACACATCCATTCGGTCTCTTGGTCTCTGGTAGTACAAAGTCGGGCAAAACTACGTTTGTGAAAAAACTTTTGAGTTATGCTGATGTCATGATAGACAAACCTACAAACCTCCAGAAAACATTGTGTATTTTTATTCTGAATATCAGGAAACATTTGGAGAAATTCACAATATAGTGCCTAGAATAAAATTTATACAAGGCATACCTGACGATATACTAGATAGTATTAATCAGGAAACACGCAATTTATATGTCATTGACGATATGATGGGCGAAAAAGACGGAGTGATTTCAAAATTATTTACGAAAAAATCGCACCACGGTAATCTGAGTGTAATTTATATCGTGCAAAATTTGTTTCAACATGGAAAAGAACACCGAACCATTTCATTGAATGCCAGTTATTTGTGTCTTACCAAAAACGTCCGCGATGCTAGTCAAATTATACACTTAGCCAAGCAGATATATCCCAATCAAACGAAATTCTTTCAACAAGCTTTTCAATTAGCGACGAAAGAAGCCTATTCACGCATACTTGCGCCAACACATGTTAGGTGTTTGAAAATATTTCCTATTCTTTTAATTAGTCAATAATATCTTGCGTCAATCATACGCGCAACAGGCGTTCAGACTAATTCGTTAAAACCGTTCATAAACATAAATCGTTCAAACGGCTTCAGATTGAACGTTTATTTATCCGTTCGTATTCTCGACTTTAAACGTTCACATTTTTAGCTGAATTCGTCAAAACGTTTTTTGGGTTCGTTGAAAGGTTATTACAGATCGTTCACTACCCGTTCGTTATCCGTTCGTTTTGCCGTTTCAACGAAATATCGTTAACGTACGTTTTCCCGTGGAAGGTCACAAATTATATTCATTTTTACTTTCTAATTATGTTTTCAAGATTAAACATTGCCAACCCAGTTATGAATCCGACAGAGTAAACGTTCATCATGAATCGTGGAAAGATGTCGTTGATCAGAGTGTTCGTAATCCTGAGATCGTCTTACAAGCCTTGCAAGATCGCGAGAGATTTGATTTGGTTCAAGAATGGATCGATGTTTATGGTTATCCATCCAACTTACGGGAGGTCAGCAATCTTTCCCAGGCATCATCATCTTGTTGTATTTGAAAGATTAAAGTCGAGTCCCTAGAACTCGCACAGAAAGCTATGACACAACCGATTCGAGAAAACCATACACAAAACATATCCGCCTCAGGCGCTATTCGCCAATAAACAATACACGCAGACATGCTTTTCTTCAAAAATGTAAAGAGGAATCGCGTTTTATTTTGCTTACATTAAGAAAAGAACAACAAAAGTCTATACAAATTGATTGCAACTCTGTAAAAATATTCCATAAATATTTGTTTCTCACAGGTTTCATTCCTTCATTCAATAATTCATCATGCATTCATTCCCTCACACATTCTTTTCCTCGTGTTACGCAAGGCTTTATTGTGTTTGGATATATGCATGTAAAAATAGCATGACAGGGATTAGTGATTAAGTTTTGCCACAAGATGCCTGAGTAAATATAATTTCGGCCCATTCGCAATCATTAATCACATTTCCTTTCATGCATGACATTTCGTGGGACTGAATAAAGTAGTAAGGTGAAAATATCAATCATCCTGTCAGAACGTGCGGATCTGGATCAACAGTCGCATGTCGTTGTCGCAACTAGTTGTTATCTGTCTTTTATTTATTTCTACGCGAGGTAGGAGATCTTTACAATGGATTAACTATAATGTTCATTAATGTTCAGTTTCTTTTCTGGATTCTCTGCTCTTCACTTGATCTTCTGATCTTCGTCGTTTTGCGTTCTTGTCTTCGGTCGTTGGTCCTGTAAGATTGAGCTTCCTAACGTTTCATATGCTTTTTACTAAGCTAGTCCACTCTATTGGTCCACTTCGTTTCGGGGTTCAGTCTGACGTTCTTGTGTCCACTCTGCTAGTCCACTGAAGGTTGGGGTGTTGTGCACGCCCTTTTATAGTAACGGTTTAGGGACATCTGCACACGTCATCAACCAGAGTGGGCTGATCCTGATCCAACCAATCAGCGTTGTTAGTTAGAAATGTGGGTTGGCGTTAGAAGCTCGTTCCAGCTCTCATATATTGTTTGTATAAGGCGTTGTCGCACTAGTCGAGTTGGTCTTTAGCTCTATCGATCAATACTTAAAAGGGTGACAGGATGATTGATATTTTCACCTTACTACTTTATTCAATCCCACGAAATGTCATGCATGAAAGGAAATGTGATTAATGATTGCGAATGGGCCGAAATTATATTTATTCAGGCATCTTGTGGCAAAACTTAATCACTAATCCCTGTCATGCTATTAATATTCGTATCTTTAAAGCTATTTTTACATGCATATATCCAAACACAATAAAGCCTTGCGTAACACTCGTAATATTCATTCATTTTGCCTTTTAGAAAATACACGAAGATTACCTGAAATTCTTGCTGACAAAAACTCCGATTGACGTCACAGAAGTTTACATGTATCTGGAGAAAATACAAGATCCTGAAAAGACTTTGGAAATTTGTGAACGGTTGTTGGCGAAACAATTACCAACTCCTAACACAGTATTTATTACCCACTTTATGATTACAGACCTCGGCGCTTTGGTAAATCCTGATAGAAAACGCGAGCTACTTCGGCAGCAACTTGGCGCCAAAGCTGCTCTGTGTATTCCCGAGTGCAACCGAACACCGTACGAGACGCTTACGTCTCAACCGTTGTTGTTGTTGGAGCAGCTTTTGATAGATATGAAAGTGGAATGGGCAGGAAAAGTGTTCGAAGATTTGCAGGCAGAATTGAAGACAAACGGGAATTACGACGAGCTTTTTAAAGAAGAGATCTCTGTGGAAGCTTTTGATAAACTCTTAGTTGTTTACGCCACAAAAGCGCTGAAATTTAATGTGGTGACTTACGAGCAAGGTGGGCGATGCATCCATAGCTTTTGTATTTTTGACTCTGTTTGCATGACTTAGTGGGCTTAATTTGCATGTTGCTTAGGCTATTTTCAAAGGAATCTAAACATTCAGTTGACTATGGTAACTGCATGGACATATTTTATACCGACACAATTCGTTTTATCAAACCTTAGGAATAAACAAGAATTAAAACCAAGTCCGTCTTCATGCAGTTCACGGCTGTAACACGTCATATGGACAACCAAATTTCTGAAACAATAATTTATTATCATGCGATCAAAATACTTAATATTGTATCCTTATTGTTGCTTTAACATTTAATTCTCTTCTTCATGACTGGCCACCAAGAATTCTCATTTCTTCCGTTTTGCTTTTATTCTGTCACGCGAATTCGCATTTCTCACGTTTTGCTTTCATTGCTTTTATTAATTTTATTCTTATTTTTCACAGAGGACATGGACACGCGCCATATAAAAACGTCCACTCCTATCAAAGGTCATCGGAGAAATGCTAGCATTGGTAAGATATTAAATACAGACAATATTTGAAATGTATATGTGAGGTTGCTACTCTGAGTCACCAACCTGGTAAGCTGAAAAATTAGCTTGACCACTGTGGCAATCGAACCCGCGACCTTTGTTTTGCTAGTCCTCCAACTGAGCTACTAGTAGCAACATCACAATATTCATTTCATAGATACACTATTACTATAACTTTCAGACAATATTTTGTCAGATTAATGTCAGCAGGACTCCAGATTAAGCTAAATATTATTATCATAACTTTTGTTTTCTTTGCCTGAAATAAGTAAACCGCCGCCTACATGTAACAATATCCTGAGCGCTCATTTGTCAGCGGTATAGTCTCAAATGCAATATATAATGATGTAGCTAATGTGTTCTTAATCAATCAAATTACAGTCCACTATAATTCGTTAGCAGGGCCACGCGGTCGTTGCGAAGTGAAAAGCAGCATCCTGGAACTTTTAAGATCCCCGAGAAAATTCCTGCCGAGGAGGACTGGGAACCAGATTATAAGCATAGTGTGTGTTAGTGTGTGTATGATCAATCTCGAAACCAGAGCCCGCGATCCATCGGGGGAAGGAGTCGGGGGCTCTGGGATAATCCATGTCCAGACATACAGAAAACTGTATGTCGACCAAACTGCGCATGTCTGCGCAATACTAACGCAGTATGCATAGCTATTTCTAAAGTTTTACTATTTTTCAACCGAATTTTGTTTATAATGTCACTGGAAAGTATAAACTTGTTTCATTCTGGGTTGGAGGAAGCGTTAGAACGATTAGGAAAGGAAAATATCAAATTGAAAGAGTGTCAATACGAGGCAGTAAAGACTGTAGTTGTCGGACGGAAAGACAATTTGCGTCTTGCCTACTGGATATGGAAAGTCCCTTATATATCAGCTTCTTCCCTTCGTCTTTGACGCTTACTTAAGTTGCGAAAATACCACTTCAAGTGTCATTGTAATTTTGCCACTGAATGCCTTAATGGTCGATCAGATTACGAAGCTGAAAACGCACATGAATGTAACTGTTCTGAAAGCAAGCAGGGGAGGAACTCCAGAGAGCATTATGCAACTGTCAGTGAGATCAACATATGAACAGATAGTTCGTCCGAACCAGATAATATTTGCCCATCCAGAAGCCTTGTTGGAAGATAAAAAAATTTTCCAAAACATTTTGAAATCGAAGGCATACCAAAAGCTATTGTTATTGATGAAGCTCATTTAGTTGAAGAATGGTAAGCCATATTTAGTAAACAATATTTATTCCACATACCACAATTTAACAGTTTCAAAATGATTACAGTTTGATGTAAAGTCAAACGTGAAAATTGCCATTTAATACCCCTTCATAGAAAAGTATACATTGGCATTGTAGTGCCAACAACTATGTATTATGTGAGCTATATAAGTGTAAAACTTATACACCAAAATTTAATGGAATACCACCAAAGTGTAGTTTTTGGCTGATTCTTAATTTTTTTTATATTTGTATAGGAAGGATTTTAGACCTTCATATGGAAAAATTGGTATGCTGGTAAGTATTTTTCCAAAGATTCCAATTTTGGCTATGACAGCCACTGCAACTTCAAAGATGAAAAAGGATATTGCAAGCAGCCTAGGATTAATTGATCCAGTACACATTGAACAAAGCCCTGACCGCCCCAATATTTTCTTTAGTTCTTTGCATAGGCCTGACAGAGGAGATAACAAGCTTGAACCTATATTATTTCCTTTGATTGAGGAGTTGAAAGCGAAACGTTTGAACTTTCCTCTCACTATACTTTATGGCATTTTGAAGATTATTGGTGAATGTTTTTCATTTACAAGTAAGATAATGGGTCCTTTGCAGTATGAACCAGTAGAAACTAGTCATATTGCTATAAATAGATTGTTCACCCAGTTTCATGCCAATTATCCAGAATATGAACGGGAGCGAATTATACAGGATCTTGTGAGTGGTAAGTCCAAAACGAGATGGAGCAGAGCACACATGCTGTGATTATCATCAACAGAAATGTTGCTGTGATGACTGTGTCATTTCCTCAGTCGCTCAAATGATGGAGATTGCAGATTCTGGGATACATTCTGGTGCTGCAATCTCATCTGTTCCGGAAGCAGAAAAATGTACTCCTCTTACCGATGAACAAAAGGGCTTGCTCAAGGGATACTTACTGAGTTATAGACAATTCTTGCATGGTTATGGAAAAAGTTGTGTTGGTAGTGTCAGAATTTGTACTGGGTTCAGCCTGGAACTTATTGATACTGTTGTTAATAATGCTAGTGAACTGACATTGCTTGAAGAGGTACAGTGTAAATTGCCATTGTTTGATAATAATCATGCCCATGTAATTTTTGAAATGTTGAAGAGTATTAGAAGTTAATTGATATATTATCTTGTGTGAAATGATATACCGGTATACTTTATTACCCTACTTGCATCTGTTATATTAAGCTTGTGGGTAAGGGAAATTGAATAATGTTTACAGTTATGGCAATAGAAGCATTACGAAGAATGTTGAGCAATTCAATTTCTCAAAGTTAGTTTGCTTACAGATTTCATCAAATATTTTATTTTACTCCTTGAAAAACTCCTTACTTCTTGTAATGGTATTCTCACTGACTAGTCAATTTTGCCTTTATATAATTGAGCAATTCTTATTGAAATTGCTGCTGTTGTTAAAAAAACTTCTATGTGTACATATGTGTACAACTAAAATGCCAATAGTATATGAATAATGTGTAAGTAATGTATTCATTATACGTATTTATGCTATGTTATATACTGGGACATAGTTTTAAAACCTGACTCGATTCATTTTTTAATTCAGCACCAACTTAGGAGTTCGGACTTCGGATATACGGCATTATACGACGAGAACTTCCATACGATGATATTTTCGATTCACGGTGTTAAAATTTGAGTATAATTTGCCAATTCTATGAAGTGTGGGCTTTTAAAAATTACCATTTACTACGCAAACACAAAGGATATTCAAATTTGAAACTGGAATAAACCTTTAACTCATTCGCACACTCTTATACGGCGGCCATCTTGTATTTACAGATTTCGCAACAATTGTCAAAATTGTTGACCAAAATTAACGACCAATCAGAATTGCTTCTGATATGGATTATCCCAGAGCCCCCGACTCCTTCCCCCCGATGGATCGCGGGCTCTGGTTTCGAGATTGGTGTATGATATGCAAAGAAGTCGCCTTTAACATGGTAAATAGTTACTTTACCCGACACGCTTTTTTTGGACACTTCTGTCTCTAATTGTTGCTACACGTGTGGTGAACACTTGTTTTATATAATTATTCTCCTCTTGTGAGTCGGTGAAATTTTGGTCTACACTGTCAGTTTGATTCTTGACTGAAGACTCTTGCTACCAGAGCACGATCTTCATAGTTATATTTAAAACATTTCAGTTTGTTCGGCGTCATCATTGTCGTCGCTGTGGCAGAGTGGTTTGCGATGCATGCTTTCCGTTCAAACGTGTCCTGTCAAACTCCGGTCGAACTCCTGTGCGCATTTGTAAAGATTGTGATAGAGCCATGTTTGAACAAAGGTGAGTTGTATGTGGAAACACCACGTGAATATAGTTTTGTAAAGCTTTCGGTCCTTAAGCCCGTACCAAATATATAAATATAGACAAATATTGAACCATATCTGACATTATTTTGTTGATGAATCAAACTTGCGAACTGCATGAACAAGAGGTTCCACCTTCCCAAGGACTTTAGCCTAGAATATGTTCCAATATAACCAAGGAACAGCGTGGCAGCGTCTTCAAACAACCTTCATCAAGTGTGGTATAACTGTCTAAAATAAATAAAAGCACTACGCGACGTTTCGACCTTTCGGGCCTTCGTCCAGAGAGTTAGTGAGGATAGTCTTATAGGCATACAGCTATACCATATTCGACGTACAAAAAGTACTTTTGAAGTTTGATGTAAAGTTCTCCTGAATTGATTTCTTAGTTTCAGACAGAAGGAGGCAGAGAAAGTCAGTCGCACTGGTTCTTTACCAACAAATATTAGTAAAAGTTTTGAAGGCAGAGGTATGTATTATCATACGAGCCCCCTTGTAGCCCAGTTGTTGCAAAACGTTTCATTGTGCATGACTATTTGTGTTAAACTTTTCATTGTGCATGACTACTGTGCATGACTACTACGGGATCACCGTTCAAAGAGCGATATTGTACAAATAGCAATTTTAATTATTATTATAAGTGGCTTTATAAAAACGTTCAATAGCTTAAGCTAAATTACAACGTTCTACAATAAAATTTAAGCCATACTATGTACATCTAAAATTATCTATCTAAAAATGAATTATACAAGTCTATAGCATGAACTATTGGACGTTCTGTCGTTCTACAATAAAAATTTAAACTATACTATGTACATCTAAAATTACCTATCTAAAAATGAGTTATATAAGTATAGGGACTATTGGACTATGTCTGCAACGTTCTGTCCTACAGAAGTAATTATATAATTTATCTTTGTTAAATCTCGTTTCTTTTTCACTAACGTTTTTCACTTGTTTTGGCAACAATTCGTGAAGCCGATGATTCGGGTCAATCAAATCTTTAATCAACAATACACATGCTTTATTTCTACGTTCTTCCAGGGTTTCCAATTTACTCACAGTTAATTCCTTATAACCAGTATGCTCCGGATAAATAATGTTAAGAGCCCTTCTTTGAACTCTCTCTATATTATCCCTTTGCATCTTTGTAATTCCACCTTTCCATATCTGCATACCGTACTCCAGAACAGATCGAATAACTGTACAGTAGAACATCAAAAGATCCTCAATAGGTGCTCCATACCTCCTCAAAATTTTTAAAAAATGTAATCGCTTGGTTGCCTTTTTTACAATATATTCTGTGTTGGTCCTCCATTTCAGATCATCATCAATCCAAGCAATTTATAGGAGAGTACTCGAGCTACTTGACAACCGCCAATGTTAATCGCTGGTATATCTGTTTTATTCTTTCTAAAATCAATAATCATTTCCTTACACTTTCCTCCGTTCAACTCCATCATCTCGTCTCTGGTAAATTGGATTACTTTATCCACCCATTCCTGTGAGATTCCAATTGGACTTCCCGATGTATGGGATGATACATCAATCACTTCATACGAGGTGGTGTCATCCATAAACATTGTTACATCTTGTTCCTCAGATGTGATGGGTTTGGATTTCA